TGCGTTACTGAAACCTGGATGAGCCCTGAAGGAGGGGCCTTTTCTCAGCAATGTAGCCACCTGTGGGAGAATCTGGCATTGAGTTACAGGAAGAAGAAATAAAGAAAAACATCAGCCTTGAATTGTTGCTATGTTGAAAGCGACACAGAAAGGATCCTTCCATGTGCCTTTCGTGTTGTTGTCACCATGGAATGCCATTCCGCACCCACCTACCCACCCAGATGACTCGATCCTGCTTGCTTTCTGAAAAGCTCTAAAGATCTAGCTGTCCCTCAGGTATTGAGTCAGGAGACTTTGTAAATCCACCTTGAATCGATCACTGCGTCTCTGGTGCAGTGTCTTTTATTGTATTTTAGCTTTTGTTCCTTTAAATTGTCTATATAGCTCTGACTCACGTGTCAAGCGAGCAGCTATCTGAAGAAAATGCATAAATAGGTAAACAAAACAACTGCTGATATACTGCATGAAGATGACAACACGGTGATAGAAAAGGCAGAACAGCCTTGACTCAGTCTTGTAGAAGAAGAGCCTCCATGTTTTATCAGGGCAACTGTGAAGAGAATGGTCAGGGCTGAAGTCTAGGTTGAACAAACAAACAAACAAACAAACTGAACAAGCAAACCTTATATCTACATCTGCTGTTAGCATGGCAGCTTTCATTATCTGAAACAGAAAGGAACATGTACAAAGAAAAGAGGAAAAAAACCTCTAAGCAATGTAATCTACTAAGTATTAATATATTAAGTCAGTAAAACATATTTTTTTCAGTAAAATATGTATTTTCATATTTCACAAATTCCTTGTGTGTCCAGTCAGACTTGGCCAATAAAGAAAATTCTATTCTATATCCTTTGTCCTTATCCACAAATGATAGCATTAATAAAACACAGCTGTGGATCATTTTACCCTTACCTTTCCTTTTAGAATAAACCAAGATAAACAAGCAAAACCTATTTATTTTAACTAGCTTTAAGTTTGCAGGGCCAGATGAGCTCTATACCAGAGTAGATTAATAATTGATGAAGGTGGGGGAGGATTGATTGATTGTTTACCCATTGTGCTTGACTAATCTTGGAGACTTGAATGAAGCGTCAGACAATTAAAGGAGGACCTGTATAGTATCTGCTTTCAAAAAGGGGAAGTGAATAGTTCAGGGAATTATAACCAATCATCTTAATTGTGATTGCTGGGAAGATTGTAGAGAAGGCCATAAAGAGACTAATTTGTAAGAATGAAGTACATGATAATTATTTGAAGTCATAATGGATTTGTCAAAAATATTTTTTCCAGGCTATTTTATCTCATTTTTTAACTGATAATATCTTTTACCAAATGTGGGCATGCTGTAGGCCAGATATATGTTGATTTTAGCAAAACATTTGATAAAATGTCCCGTGTTATGCTGATTAGCTTGCTCGCATGAACATTAACATAGCTGACCCAAAACTCACTCTCAAGTACTCCTCCATGATTACTCATCAAATTGGAATGGGGTATTGTGTGGGGTGCCACAAAGTTCAGCCTTGAATCTCATACAAACCTACAGCTTCTTACAGAATGTCGTTGTGCTGTGTTTAGCCAGGAGGTTGAGCTCTAGCAACTGTAAGGATTAAATATTCTAGTGTATCACTCAGAAGAAAGGAGAGGTCAAAATGAAATTACAAAAATGCACTTGGGATTTTTCATCCTTATAAGATCATGGCTGGAACAAAAAAAGAATAAATTTTACACTTTATTTAAAGTCACAACTGAAAATATCATTGAATGCTCATAAAGATACTATGTATCTACCAGAGTCGTTTTAACCAAAGAATATTTTATCACAAATTCCTAGGAGGTTGGTTGTAAGAATCCAAAGTAATAGGCACTGATTCACAGAAAGATTATTTAATCTAAAAGAAAATGTGGCATAAAATACTGCTGTTTGATTTTTCACCTTCATTATTAGTAAAATATTTGTATTTTAGTTTGAATTCTCATGCAAAATGACCAGAGGATATGTAATTATCTCTCAGATACTCATGTTGCAATGCAATATCTTGCTTGATCTTCAATAAGCAGGGAACTTTCAGGACCTTGGATAGCTCAGAACAGAGCTTAACTGTAATACAGGTAGCCCTCGACTTACGACCACAAGTGAGCCCCAATTCTGTGTTCTAAGTGAGACAGTTGTTAAGTGAGCTTTGCTCCATTTTAAGACCTTTCTTCCCACAGTTGTTAAGTGAATCACTGCAGTTGTTAAATTAGTAATATGGTTGTTAAGTGAATCTGGTTTTCCCATTGACTTTGCTTGTCAGAAGGTCGCAAAAGGAGATCACATGACCTTGGGACACCACAACAGTCATAAATGTGACTCAGTTCCCTAATGTGTGAATTTTGATCATGTGACCATGGGGAGGCTGAAATGGTCTTAAGTATGAAAAACTGTCATAAGTCACTTTTTTCAGGGCTGTTGTAACTTTGACCATAAGTCATTAAATGAAATGTTGTAAGTCAAGAACTACCTGTACATCTTTTTCTCATAGTAGTGTTGTCTGCAGACAGCCGGCTGAAGCTGTCAAAGGAGTCCTTCTCCTTCTAAATGTTGACACTGATTCTTAAAAGAACCATGACTATTTCTTCAATGTTAGAGGGGGAAATGTTGGGACAGATTTGGGAGATGGGTTGGGAGAGGAAACTCTCATAATTGTCAATCTCAGTCCAGAGTTAAGAATCCTGTTAGGGACAATGTGCTGGCATTGGTACTGAGTGCTTGTTTCAAAGTTGAATGGATTTTGCATCTGTATCCTGAGTCTCAGGAGAAATGACAACAAGATCCCAAAGAAGGAAGTAAGATAGATTGTGTGTCGGGAGGGATAACCAGAGTAGCTTTGGATAGTGAGGTCACTGGTGTATAAATTAAATTATTTTTTTAAAAAAGTAAAATGTCTAGAAGGCTTTTAAGTAAGCTTTTATTGTATATCCCGAAAGCACTAATTTTGTTAAACTATTCAGATTATTTTTATGTATTACTATAGTCCGATAGAAATGAAGATCACTGATTACAGTTTTTATAATCATGCTTTACTGGTTAGCAGATTGGATATAGATTTAGTTACTTAGATTATATTACAAAAGAATGGGCAAAGTTAATTGACACTCATGGACTTCAGTGGGAACTAAACAGAAAAAAAAATATACAGATATATCCTGAACTTGATGTCTTAGTTTTGAGAATCGTGATCAATGAGCTATGGTGGCGCAGTGTTAGAGTGTAGTACTGCAGGCTACTTCTTCTGCCTGCCGGCTGCCTACAATCTGACAGTTCAAATCTCACCAGGTTCAAGGTTGACTCAGCCTTCCGAAGTGAGTAAAGAGGACCCAGATTGTTGGTGTTGTGGTTAGCTGGCAGCAGGTGAGGACAGCTGAAGAGAGCAAGGACTCAGATGAGGGGCCAGGACCATTGGGGAGTAGACTGCTGCCTTCAGAGATTGTGGGGGCTGGCAGCAGCGATAAGGAGGTTCCCAAGGAGCCTGTGCCAAGTGTGCGCGCGCGCAGGATTGCTCGCAGGAAAGAACAGCTGCAATAGGACGGGTGACTTGGGAGTAAGGCTGCAAGGTAATGGGCCCTCCTTCAAGAAGATAAAAGGCAGCTGTGAAGCGAACGTTGTTTGCAGGAAGCAAAGTCATTTTGAAACTCCAGCCTCGTGGACATTCCAGTATATTAAGTTGGTATTTGAAGCCTGTAGTGTTGTGAAATATTTCTTATCTATGATTCTTGGCAGTCTTGCACAGTTTTGTTGAGCTTACCAAAGTTAATTAGTTTGCAGTAGCCTTTTAACGGGGGATTCGTAAGACTCATTAAGAGGTTTCTGTTTCCTTTGGTTATTGTTTGTTTTATTGGAAAAGGGTTGGGGGTCAGAACAGTTGGGGACAATATGCTGACTCTGTAAACTGCTTAGAGAGGGCTGAAAAAACACTGTAAGACGGTATAAACCTCTAAGTGCTATTGTTATTTGAACACTTATGTTTTGATAAGAATGGTACTAATTTGTTCAATTGTAAGAAGTGGCAGGTTTCACAATAGATCTACTTTGGATGTTGAATTCACTAGACTTCATGAGAAATGGGGAGGGGGGGTAAGTATACTGCTGTTTGTCTTTTGTATGCCTCAAGTTTCCAGCACAGTAATATAGCTATTCCTAAGTAGCCTTGATGTAATGACACTATTACCCAATATCAAGCATTTGGCTGTCTAAGACATGGGTTGCCAACCTTTTGGACCTCAGGGACCACCAAACTCATAATTTTAAATCCCGTGGACCAGAGACCCTGGGAAAATCCCCCCAAAAGTCTGCAGGAAAATTCCCCACCCCATTTTCCTACCGATCAATCATTCTTTATTTGGGATTGCGGGATACCATTTTCAGCTTTGTTCTCAGGGGGAGAGTCTTTTGGCTTCATGCAAGGAAAGCAGCAGAAGTCTTTCTTTCTCTCTCCCAAGCTCCGCCAGAAATGAGTCTTTGTGAGACTTGTCTTACCGGCACAGCCTCTTGGAGCAGGATGCCTTGCAGGATCCCAAAGACTCATTTCTGGTGGAGTTTGTGGGAGAGAAAGAAAGACTTTTGCTGCTTTCCTTGCGTGCAGCCTAAAGAAGATGAAGAAAGAAGCAGAAAGAAGTAGACCGGTGGCCAGGCGAGGCACATGGGGCAAGTGGGGCAAGTTCTCCCCCTTTGCCCTTTCCTCACTCTCCCCACTCCCCTCATGCAAGCCTTGTGTTCCCGTGGGCCATGTGGGTGGCGCAGCCTTGTGTTCCCTTGCAGCCTGGATTAATTGCTTGGTGGGGTGCTTTGCGGGTGACATTTCTCTGCAGACCACCAAAATTTTCTCATGGACCACCAGTGGTCCCCGGCCCACTGGTTGGTGACCACTGGTCTAGGACACATTGCAAATGAAACTGATTACAACTTTTCATCATTATGTGAGTTTAAGCTAGGTTTAAGCCATTTTATTTCTTTGCAGGGAGCTTATCTTATCCAGTATCGATAATGATGCAACTGGAATGTGGGAGTGTGTGGTTAGCAACTCCTATGGAAGCATTTCTAAGAAGGTGGAAATCATTGTACTAGAAACAGCTGCACCTTATTGTCCTGCTGAAAGAATAATTAACAATAAAGGTGATTTCAGGTAAGATTTTCTTCTTAAAAAATTATTTTGATTATCAGATTATGATATTTTTCTCTTTTTTTTCTTATGGAAGCTCTACAGATTACCTTTCCTGAACAGAAAGTTCTTCAGGTTTAGCAGTAGGATTAATAACTAGTCAAGTAGAACCAGATGATGCCATATTGATTTCTCAGGTGGTACTAGTTTTGAAAGCTTAATTTATAACTAAGTGGAGCAAGTAAAAATAATAGTTTCTCTGCATCTACACATCAAAATAAACTATGTTTGGTTGGTTGCTAGCTTAATCTGTGTAAAGCCAGCTTTGGACTTTTAAAACCATGGCTTATTGTGAGTAATTCAACTGCAGTTTATTTAAAAGTGAAATCAACTTTGGCTCATACAGTATATCAGTCCAGCTGAATATTCTTCCCAAAGACAAAATGAGTGTTTTTCTATATAAATTAAGCACAAAACCACTGTGAATTCTAAAGGACACTTCAAGATATCTCTTTACCCTATACCCTTCATCCCTTGGTAAAGAAAATATTTCTCACAAAATAACATTATCGTGAATCTTGTCAAAGTCTACTTTTATTTTTAGACACACTTTATCAGACCCATGCCTTCAATTTTGTTTCAGAACTATTTTAAGAAGGCTATATTCTTAGCTGCTTCAGGGCCTTAAGAACAGATTTCGTTGGCTAATATGTGCAGGGTTTTTTTCCAAATTTGAAGCACATAAATCAGACTACTTTCTGCAACTGATAGGATTAGTTGCATGCAAGAAATGTTGGTTTGAGTATTTCAAATAAGAGCTTCACAACCATGTAGATAGTCACTTATGAATCTGAAAAAAACCCTATATGACATAATTTATAGTGCTTTGCTATATGTCAAACCCATCAATTATAATCAAGACTTTGAGTGGGTTTGAATTAGTTTTTTTTTTTTTTGAAGCCTGGCCATTTTAAAGAGCTATTGAGATGTATAGTATGTTAAGTCATGGAACAAAATTTTGAGCTTCATAAAGTAGAGATTTTGGAATATCTACTTATTAAATTTAATAGCTGCTGATACCAATATTAGACATGTAAATTTGTTATTCAGCATCATTTATACGCTTATAAATGGAAAAAGGATATTTCACAGAGTTGGAAGCATAGTGAACATGGACCTAATCAGAGTTGGCCAATGAAAATTTCTAGTTTGAGGAGAAGCCAGAAGAAGATTCTTAGAAATGGAGGAAGGAGCCAAACACTCTCGAATATATACATAGGAAAGTCAATTTTATTAAGAGCAGAAAATATTGATTTCCTAGTAGGAAAAAAAACCCTCATTTTAAAATGCCCGAATAGTGGTTAAAATTCAAGGAATTGGGAATTACTTTATTTGTGACTGGTAACAGTAAAAATAAGAGTAGAGTAGAGTGAAAGGAATGTGGCCTGGAATCAAAACTAAAAGCTTTTGTTATGCTGTTTGCTGAATAGAAAGAGAAAAATGTATAAGGTGTGTCTTGATATGCTATCTCTTAAATTCTGAATACCCTTCAAAACTCATCATGCCAACAACGGTCACCAACACAGGCCTACAACCCCAAAATTATATTTGAAAAATGACTGATACATTGTTAGACATTGGTTAGAATGCATCATTTTGTGATATTTAAGGACAGTATTTTAATGTACTCTTGTGACATTGAGAGTGTGATTGCAAATATTTAATGCAACTTTACAGCTTCGTGAGTTTTCCATTATTTAAAATTTTATTTCTATTTTTTTACATCAGATGTTGCAAAATTACATGATGATATTTGAAAAGACATTTGGCCCTTAAGTTGCACAGATGCACAGGTAGTCCTCAATTTACAATACTTCATTTAATGATAGTTGGAAGTTACAGCAGCACTGAAAAAGTGACTTGTGACCATTTTTCACACTTAGAACAATTGCAGCATCCCCATGGCCGTCTGATCAAAATTCAGATGCTTAGCAACTGATTGATAGTTATGACATTTGCAGTGCCTTGGGGTCATGTGATCAGCTTCTGCAACCTTCTTTTTTTTAAATAAAGTTTTATTTGGGTTTTCACACATACAAAATACAAGTAAAACATCTTTTTTGAAAATAGCATGGTCCCGGGTTGACCTTCTTTATACAGACATAAAACTCAATTTCATGCTTCTTTTTGTATTCTATTCCATATCTTATACTATTTTACATTTTCTATAATTTTAATTATAGAAATTATTTAATTTTCTCAATTTTATTTTGATTATCTCATCTCAATTCAAATCATTATATTTATACTTTTGTCTGTTCTGTTTCAATTTCATATTACCTTTTCTCATTAAACAAATTTTCTCCTGTAGTTACTAATGTAGTTACTAATTGGAATATGACACCTTTATATCTTTTAATTACATCCATTCAACTCTTATTTAAACTTCAGTATATACCTTAAGGTTATGACCTTCAATATAATACATAATACATAACTTCCAATCGAATTCTGCTTGGTACATTCTTATAATACACACTATATCCTTTAAAAAAATAAAAAATAAAAAAAGATTATAAATATATGTAATTATAAACCCTCATTCCATTCCAGTTCAGTTCTATCATTAATAATCATTAAAATCTTAACATCTTTAACACTTCTTTTCAATTAAATATCATACTTCCTTAAAAACACAAATAATCTCCATAATTAATTTTTCCCTTATTTCTCTTCACATATGTTTTATAAATCATTAAATATATCTTTTATTACATTTATTTATTGACAAGCATTCCACTGAATTACAATAGCTATTTTATCAGACATTTTAATCATACATTGTTTCATATTTTCTAAAATTATTTCTGTTTCTAATATAACCCTATCTTATGTACCTTTGCAGAATCCCTTTTTCCATTAAATTTTCACCCATTATCTCTAAATCGGCCCTGTTTCTCTATATTTTATTTCTGTCCTTTATAACTTCTTTTCCTTTCTTTCTTCCCTCTCATCTTCTCCCTCCCCTTTTTACCCCCTTGTCTCTCTACTTCTAATTCTCTCTTCTGCATTTCCCTCTTCTGTTGCTTTCTGATTTTATACTTATTTTTCACTCTATTATTTTTTTGGGTTGTTTTTCCCAATCTTAAACATTCTCTTTCCCCCCTTACTCTCCCCCACATCTAAGATTACTTGTTCATTAAAGATGGCTTCTTCTTTGTCACAATCTTCTTGTTCTGCAGGCATTTCTTGTTGTTTCTCATAGTTCCAGATCTCCATTTCTAAGAATTGAAATACAAAGCCAAAAGAACCTCTCCCTTCTTGTGCATCTTTTTTGTACTTTTTAAGTTCCATTTTCAGTTCTTCTAAAAGTGGAGCCATTTTAAACACTTTTGAACAACCACCCGATTGATTTTAGTCATTCAAAACAATAACCAAGAATCCAGAAATCATCAAGTAATCCAGAGGGTCCCGAGCTATATCTTCTTATTTCTTTTTCGACTTTCTCTTCCAGGAGTTTCTGTTGCAATATTTCAGTCTTGTTGATATTTTGCTGTAAGTTCTTTTTAATTCCAGGCAGTCTCCTCCCTTCCAGATCCTGCCCTTTTATTCTTTTTTTCCCCTTTCCTGTTTTCAAAAGCTTTTGATTATCCAGAAATCTTTATTATCCCTTTGACTTTTTATTTTCAGCATTAAATGCCTATTGATGTCAAAGTGGATTTTTTTCCAATTTCTTACTTAAGTCTCTTAGCTGTCAGTATAGGAAAAGGAGAAAAAAAACCCAAATCTTTTCCCCTTTCTCTCTCCTTCGCAGCTTAAACATCTACTTAGGGAACAATGTTTTTTTTTTTAATAGTTTCAATTCCAGGGTACCTTATTTATTGCATTTGCTGTTTGACCTGGTCAACCACAACTTTCTCCTCTTATCTTCCTCATGCACATTCTTTTCTGGTCGAGTTCTTCTTTGTGGTGGCCATTTCTGACCACCGCTGCAACCGATTTCGGGAAAGGGAGTAATGGCAAGCTGGGGAGGAGAGATGCAGCTCTCCTCAACCCTGCAGGCAGACTCCCCCCTCTTCACCACCTCTACAGGGTGGCTTAGCCCTGAAACCAGCCGGCTCGGGGCGCTCCAGCGGCGAGCACGGATCGAAGCCTCGCAGAGACGAGGTTTCGGTCTGTCGCTGAAGAAGCTCAAACCGGAAGTGCTTCTGCAACCTTCTGACAAGCAAAGTCAACAGGGAAACCATATTCACTTAACAACCATGTTACTAACTTAAAAGCTGCAGTGATTCACTTAACGTGGCAAACAGGTCATAAAATGGGACAAAGTTCACTTAACAAATGTGTCACTTAGCCATGGAAATTTGGGGCTCAGTTGAGGTCGTAAGTCAAGGACTACCTGTATACTATACATGTGTTGGCAGCAGAGGCCCCTCTTGGACCCCTTGGCCAATTCTGGCTGGTAGGATCCAGGAGAAGAGCCCTCTCTTCTGTGGCTCTTGCTCAGGGATGGGATCCGACCAGTATAACTACCGGTTCTGTCTCTCTGTGTTGCGCATGTGCAATTTATGACCTGCTAAGCTGCCCGGACAGCTGCGCAGCGCTGCGTGAAAGTGTGCAGCAGTTGGAACAGCCCTTTCCCCCTGCTTTTTCAACCACAGCTGTATTGTGCAAAGCAGCTGTGGTTGAAAAAGCAGGAAATAAAGGTCAGGTAAGAACCCGGGTGAACGGGTGGGTCAAAACAGCAGTAGACATAGAACCAGTTCTGCTCTTCAGAACTACCGGTTCTACAGAGATGGACAGAACCAGTAGAATCCCACCCCTGCTCTTGCCCTTTGGAACAAGCCTCTCCCCTCCTGAGTGAGATTTGCTCCCATCCTTCTGGCCTTCCATAACAGCCCGAACAAGTGGTGGGATTCAAAATAGTTTATTACCGGTTCTGTGGGTGTGGTTTGGTGGGTGTGGCAGGGGAAGGATACTGCAAAATCCCATTCCCTCCCCACCCCACTAAGCTGCTTTCCAGCTCTGTTCTCCTGTGCAGGGCAACAAAAGAAGACCCAAACAATCAGCTGGGACTCAATGGGAGGCAGAGAATAGATGGGGGCAGGGCCAGTCAGAGGTGGTATTTTCCAGTTCTCTGAACTACTCAACATTTCCACTACCGGTTCTCCAGAACTGGTCAGAACCTGCTGAATACCACCTCTGGCCCAAAGACTGGTTTCTGCTGGTTGGCTTTGGGCCCCAACTCAGGAGCATCACACTGGAGGTGTTTGATGGATTATTAGGTGTTTGATGGAGATCCCACCTACCCCCTGCATATCCTATTTCCCTCCCCTTTCTTTTAATCATAGTTTTAATCTTTCTTTGGTTGCAATGCTGTTTTATTGTTTGTAGAAATATTTATGTGTTATGGTTTTATAGCTTTTAATGTTGTAAGCTGCCCAGATTCACCCAAAGGTGAGATGGGTGCCATCAAATTTAATAGGCCCATAAAAATCTGAGAGGGCTACAACTTTCTGATCCCTGCCCTACATTTTTCTGGGTAATTTATTTTTAAATAAATCATACTGGGATAGTTACTGGCACACAAGAAAGCAGCAAAGCTTCTTGCTACTAAGAGTAATGTTGTTCCTGAAGGCACCTATTTCTATTTGCTTTAGAAAACATGGTACCTTTTTTCATTCATTTTATAAAATTAAGGACCTCTGACTAAAATTATGACTAAGGGCTAAGGATAATTAGACTAAAACTTTGGGTGGTCCAACAGAAAATAGTTGGTTAGAAAAGAAATCATATGGCCTTTATGTTATCCTTATGTGGGATATTCAGTCCTCAGCAGTATTTTGCTTAGTGTTTTCATTTTCCACTTAAAAAAACAAAACAAAGTAAATATCACCTTATTTCACCACAATAAGTATTATAATAAATATGTGTGAAAGAACCAGATGAGGTTTTGAAGAGGAAAATCTTTGCTTTTCTTTGCAAAGTTCAAGACATGATTATCCCCAGGAATAAGCTACATTTCCACTCAGCACAGAAAACTGAGCAGCTGAACTTGAGGTTCTCTTTAATGAGTTGGTTTTAAAATACACCAAAATAAGTTTACTGGCTGTAACTTTAATTAACAACCTTTCCACTCCATTGCTGGTAAATGTCATCTTAGCTAAAATAAAATAAAAAAATAAACTAAATAAATAAAAGTGAAATAAATGTTCAGCTAAGATGAGAGGCCTTTTGCTGTTTCATTTTCTCTAAATCAAAAAAACCGAAGGATTCATATTTGTTTCATTATTGATCATCATTCAAACATTCTGCACAAATTTATTTTAGAAATACACATCAAAAGCATGCTGAGTCCATATATTCCTTTGGCATTTCAAAGTAATGAATTCAGAATTCTAGAGAATATCTTTGGAGCTGAAAGTTAACATTAACACCTGAAGCGTTTTTGAAAAATTTCTCTTTTTGGATGAGCTTCCCTGCCAATAATGTATTATGAAAATGTCTTTGAGGTTTTGGTATTATGGCAAATATGTTGGAAGCAATCTATTACAAGCACAAAAGAAAACTGGGGGAAAAATCACCTTGTTTTAAAAAGAAAGACGCATTAAATATAAAATGGAAAGGTTCAATCTTTTGAGCTGACAGGTCCAGGTGGTATGTGTAATTGAAATCTCACTGCAAGGATTTGTAATGCAAGCTTCAGTGAACAAAAGCTATTATTATAAGATGATGGTTATGTTTGTTTTCTTTCTCCTTTCATTGTAAGATACTTTTAAGTGAGCGAAAAATGTCTGCTGTTTCCAAAAATGTCTGATGTTTCCAAACCCTAATACTGTGCAGTCTGGTGTAGCATTCTTGGGCAAGCTCATTAAAGAGAGATCCTACCTCAAACTAAGGAGAAATTTCCTGACAGTAAAAGCAATTAACCAATGGAAGAGCTTGCCTTGTTGTAGGTGCTTCATTGCTGGAGGCTTTCAAAGAAAGATTGGAAATCCATTTGTCTGGGGTGGTATAAGGACTGTTGCCTTGGGCAAGGAGTTGAACTAGAAAAGGCCTATCAAACTGGAGGCCGATGGGCTGGATGCTTCACACATAGGCCACACTCACCCTTGCTCCGCATAGGCAAAAAAGTCACAATATGTCAAGTGATGCGATCAAGTTTGATACCTGTGGACTAGAAGATCTCCATAGTCCCTTCCAGGCTTATAAATTCTAAGATAATTCCTAATATTTCCCCAATTTTGGTAGTCTTCAGATGAGGGGAAATACTTACACTCAAGTCCATGCTACAATTATAGTCCCAGAATAACTAAAACTAGAACCAGAATCCTAACACAATTCCTTAAATGCATCTTGATAGTCTATTCCCTAGTTTGGAATGACACCAGAAAAGTTCCTGTGCTGTATGGCTCAAAAATAGATTTTGAAAGCAGGGGATCTCTTTCCATATTAAATTCCATATTAGGGTCAGAATGAAAAAGGGAGACTAGGAAAAGCTTTAAGTACTGCAATGCCAAAAGTTATCCCAAGAAAATAAATGTTGTATGGTTCAAGTATCAGCATAGATAACTGATTTTTCACCAATTTGCAAGGATAGCCCAGTGGTGCACTAATTCTTCCCAAAGTGTGGATTTCAGCTTCCAGAATTCTCTATCACCATTGTTGTGAATTCTAGGAATTGAAGTTTGCATAATTGACCATTGGTTTAAGGGATCTCAGTGAATAGATCCTGAGTCTGACGCAAATGGGTGAAGAGCAACATCTCATCACTTAAGATTTAATCCAATTAAAGTAATATAAATCTAGGAGTAAATCAGAAATGCTCTGTGATTCATAATGCATTTTAATTACCAGTGCTTACAACATTCTTGCCATGATTAATTTTGTACGCACTGACTTTTCTCTTCAGAATATGTTATTTTAGTGGTTGTCAAATATGGAAAATAAGACCACTGGTTTCCTTTGTGTAGTATTGCTTAGAAATGAAAATTCAATTTTGCCAGTGTATTATATAAAATTATTTATCAAATATTTTTCTGTACATGCTGATAACCTATAAAAATTCCGCAAATTCCTAAAGACTGCCAGTGCCACTTATGAATATGACTTGCTCCTCACTGAGATTTTAAATTATATCTTGACATGAGTACTTCAGACTGGAAAAGATTTCTTCATTGACAGAATGCTACTGCATATTTGCATATCACACATTAGGACGAAGGTTCTATTCTATCCTTCTTCCTGACATAATAGTTTTCTACACTGTATATGGAATTTTAAAGGGAGAGTAATGGGGCAAAAATTCATCATGGTGGCATTGTAAAATAATATCCACTATGCATGTATGTATGAAGGGAAATTTGAGAACTTGATCTTACATTCATTGAAGAAAAGTCTTCATATTCTAAAATGAAGCAACTAAAAAAATTGATATTCAGCTACATTGAATGTAATACTATTGTTTTCATACTGCAAACCGATATTATTGAAGTACCAGTGTTTACCAAAGCATTTTTTTTGAAAAAGTGTATCTAATAGACACAATGAAAAAAAAGATTGGGAATGAAAATATTCAATTTTTCTGTAATGTTTGAACCTTGCTTTCCAAACCTGGCATTGTCCAATACTGTTGGGATTACTAAATCTGTCTTTGTCCAGTATTGTTTAGACTGATTATGAGAATTTGGGATTTTTCAGTCTAAAAACATGAAGGATAACAAGGGCAAGGCTGGCCTATTAATGTGGAATCACTGTCACCAAGTTATAACCCCTCCCAGCAAAAACAAAGGAAGTGAGCTTTGCCAGTTTTAAGGCCAAAAAATCTAGCCCTTAATCTATAAATATATCAATTTAAATTATTTCAAATTGAATGACCCATTATTGAATATAAAATAGGCAAGGAAATTGCTCTATGGGTTCCAGTTCAAGACAGATGATGTATTGCATTATTTATTGTAAACATGGGCAACCTTCAGCCTTAGGGCCTAATTTAAAAAAAAATCCATTGCTAAGTACAGAAGCCTTTTGCAAGCAAAAAAATCAATCCTCCAGCAAAACCAACCTTCCTTTTCCCCAGAAGCTTTTCATGTGAAGAGAAAGGAAGAAGAACATCAAAAGCTTGCTCACAAAGAGGGTCGCAAATGAAGAGGGAAGAAGAAATACCAGAAGGAAAATGGATTCCTTTCCCTCTCCCTATATTTTTTAGTCTGACCTTGGCCACCATTTGTTTTAGCTCTTCCCATCATTGAAAGTTTTCCTAAACAAATATGTTTCCCTAAACAGAATATTGCGATAATAGTACTGTAGCTTTTGATGGGAAAAAACTTGTCTGCTCCTACTTTACCTCAACAATTGCATAAATTCAGGGGAATATGCAGTATTCCATAGGAAGTGTACTTCAGGTTGGAACTTTATCTAATGTTAATGTATTAGTGTAGCATTGCAGTAGCTTATTTGTATTTTTTTCACAGGTGGCCTAAAACTCTGGCAGGTGTAACCGCTTACCATTCATGTTTTCAGCATTCCTTAAGATCAGCTCCCTTTCTGAATGGGGAAGAAGAGTTAAAAGCATGGCGTAATTGTAACCGCACAGGTTGGTGGGATGAAGAAAATTATTCCAAATGTCCTTATTCACAGGAAGTAACTCAAATCCTTCATGCCTTCAGTCAGGTAAACCATACTGTTGTGCATACAATTTAGTGTATGAGTAAACGTTACACAGTTCTTACTAAGTTTCCGCAGAGAAAGTCTCTGTTATCTAGGCTATATAACTGGGCTCTATAACAAGACTATGTATCAAGAATAGATCCTAAACTATCCAAACCTATACTATAACTCTGATTGTATTCAATGTATTTTGGAATAAGAAAGCATAAATAGATTGTGACATTGATTCAAGCATAGTTCTCATGGGATTATTCCTTATCTTTAATATTCATTTAAATTAAATTGTTGATGCTGGATCAGTATTCATGGTGCTGATAAATGGTTCTGTCAGGGGAAAATTGCTTGATAAAAATTATTTAAGTTACAAGTATTATATTGGACATTTTAAGTATTTTAAAACATAGTGTTCTTATTAGACAATTTAAATATTTTACAATATAATGTTGTTTGCAAGTTTGAATTATACATCAATAACGTTCTTCATCTCTAGAAAATAAAGTGTTAATGTTTTAACTGTAGAAAATGGAATTAAACTTTTAACCGAATTTTATCTTTTGGGATTTTTTTTTTCTAGAGGCATCTAAATGCTACCAATGCACTTGAATTTTCCCATCAGCTAGCAGCTTTCACAAGAGATGCTGCCAAATTTGCAGATAAAGAGGATGTTATCTATTTAGCTTACATGTTGGAAAAACTACTTCTATATATGGAAGAAATCAAAGACGTAAGACTCTGGCTAACATGATGATGATTTAATGTTGGATTTAATTTAATGTCCAGTAATGATTTTGGGGGAGGAGGGTCTTTTTAAAATAGTTCTTTCAACTTTTTACTCAAGAGCTTTTCATAAAGTATTTTTAAATTTGAATTATATAATGTACAGGTTGTCTTTGAGTTATGACCATTCATTCAACCATTCAGAATTATAATGACATTAAATGAGAGGGACTTATGACAGGTCCTTCAAGCTCCAGCAATTGCAACACCTCTACAGTCATCTGATGGTGATGTGGGTGCTCAGTGCCCAGTTCATGATAGAATGGAATGGAATTAGAATAGAATAGAATAGAATAGACTTCTTTATTGGTCAAGTGTGATTGTACACACGAGGAATTGGTCTTGGTGCAAATGCTCTTGGTGGACATAAAAGATACATTTGTCAAGAGTCAAGAATCAGAAGGTACAACACTTAATAAGGGGACAATAAGCAATACAATCATAGTAGGAAACAGTCAATATAAATCGTAAGGATACAAGCGACAAAGTTACAGTCATATAATCACAAGTGGGAGAGGATGGGTGATAAGGAGTGATGAGAAGATTAATAGTAATAGTAGTGCAGACTTTGTAAATAGTTGGACAGTGTTGAGGGAATTATTTGTTTAGCCAGAGCGATGGCTTTCGGGAAAAACTGTTCTTGTGTCTAGTTGTTCTGGTGTGCAGTGCTCTAAAGCGTCGTTTTGAGGGAAGGAGTTGAAACAGTTTATGTCCAGGATGTGAGGGGTCTGTAAATATTTTCACAGCCCTCTTTTTGGCAAAGATGTACCTTATAATATTTTCATCAAATTTTGATGAAATAGTTGAATAAAACTCTCAATGCAGTATTTTGGATGATGATTCTTACAGGTTGAAATACTTTTTAAAATTTGTTTTGGCTTTGTTAATTTCCTTCTACCTTCTTAATTTGCAAATTTGATCTTGGAAGGAATAATTCAGCAAATATACCCCTGAAGGTGAAGCCTTGGTGATCCAGAGTTAAAACTTTTTTGATACCAATATTTTTATATTGACTATACTAGCATTTTTGCTTCAAACAGGTGAAGTTTTTCTGAGCGTTCGTTCAATTTAACATTTTCCTAGACTCATGCCGTTCATTGCTCTTTTCTGAAGAGTTGAATAAAGCTTCCTGTGGTTCTAACCTTGTCAAACTCATGTGAAACTAGAATTCATGCCAGTAAAATGTCTTATGCTTTTTTAATTCTCTTGGTAGCTTGATGTTAAATGGTATGGATTTTAAACATTTTCACAATGGTGTTTTAGATGTCAGCTAAACATAAGTAGCTAAATTAATGATCTATCTAAAATATTTTACTGAGAGGAAAGAGACTGTGATCAGTGTTTTTTCCCTTTAAGGTACATTTCCTGACTAATAATGTGACCAGTCTCAAAAGCCCAGTGCTTCCCAAACCCTCTTTAAGCCCCCCTAGCAGTAGTAATTCCATATTCATATTTGTATATTATATATTTTTATGTGGCTCTTTTTAGTAGTGACTTATGACCATTTTTCACACTTATGACCATTGCAGCATTCCCATGGTCACATGGGTTACATTCAGATGCTTGACAACTGGTTCATATTTATGACGGTTGTGGTGTCCCAGGGTCTTGTGATCATGTTCTGCGAACTTTTGACAAGCAAAGTCAACGGGAAGCCAAATTCACTTAACAACCATGTTACTCACTTAACAACCTCATTGATTTACTTAACAATTGGGGCAAGAAAGGTCATAAAATGGAGCAAAACTCACTTAACAAATTTCTCACTTAAAAGCACAAAAGTTGGGCTCAATTGTGGTTGTTGGTTGAGGACTACCTGTGGTTTGCTTTATGTTGTGTTGGGTGGCCTGATAAATCCAGTATTGGGAAAAATGAATCAAATAAAAGTGGGAAACCATTGGAGCACTTGGCTTATTCTATTTCATATTCTTGAATGGATTCACCAAGGAACCCTTTATGACTGATCTTTTCTCTATTCTTGGATTAAATTGTGGTTTGTTTTTAACTTTGGGTTGCTAGTGTTTGTGTGAATTTGGTCATTGTGGTTTATTTACCAATTAGAAATATATGTGATTTGAGAAGCTAGCCATTAAATAGTGGATGGGTTCATATTAGATGCAATTACAAGGAGTAACCATATTGAAGCTTAAACCAACCATTCATTTGGAAATTAAAGCAAGGATTTGAGATTTGAGTTTTGTGAAATAAAAACTATGGTTTGGGCCAATTTCTGAATTGGGCCACCGAGATTCTATTTCAAATTTCTATAAACCAGGTATTATCTATAGTCAAACCAATGCTGTTCACAATGCATAGCTTAATCAGTTATTACCTCTCAGTTGTAAGTATGCATTGATTTCTATGATAGCTTTATCTGAAGATGTACACAAGCTTTCTAATGAGAATAGTATTCCAACAAAACCTAATCTGTTTTATCCTATTAACAATTAGCATTGCTATTTTACATTTATATATAATTCAGCCTTTTCATTACTATGAGCTGAAATTAATACTTTAAAAACATGTTTATGATCAAATTATTATAATTGAATTTCTTGTGTTTGCTTCAGGGATTGTTCTTATTTTGCATCTATATTGCTAAAACTCTTGCTGAAAAGTCTTTAAGAAATATCTATTCTCAATAGAACAGTTGCTTGGACTCATGTAACTCTGAAATAGTTTTGACTTGATAATCATTGACTTGCAAAGAGGCATATCCATCAATTTAATCTTTTGGCTGCCAAATTGAAATGTACGTTGGTGTTCCTAGAACAGGTAGTTCCTGAATGCTTCACAGAATTCCTAAATACAGCTGTTTTCAATTTTGCCTTATGTTGTATAGAAGTTACATCTTTTATACTCTTCCCCCCCCCCTTTTTTTCCTTTTGTTTTTTTGTCTTAGCAGCTTGCAGATGCTGTCATAGAGATTGCCAGCAATGTAATGCTGGTAGATGACCATGTATTATGGATGGCGCAAAAGGACAAAAAAGCATGTGCAAGAATTGTGCAATGTGTGACACGCATTTCAAATCAAACTCTGAGCAGCAGTGCACAAGTTGTATCAAAGGTATTGTTATATATGGCTTCTTGATTTGTTAAAATATTGATCTGAAGGAAGAAGCAGATGCTCCTTGAAAAATGTGTTACATTACATACTCATCCAATTTTATTACATATATATATTTTTTAATAAAGTTTTATTTTTTCACACATACAAAATACAAGTAAAACATCTTTTTTGAAAATAGCATGGTCCCGGGTTGAACTTCTTTATACAGACACAAAACTCAATTTCATGCTCCTTTTTGTGTTCTATTCCATATCTACTCTACATTTTCTATATAGTTTTTTCCCTCTTTTAATTTTCTCAATTTTATTTTGATTATCTCATCTTAATTCAAATCATTATATTTATACTTTTGTCTGTTCTGTTTCAATTTCATATTATCTTTTCTCATTAAACAAGTTTTCTCCGGTAGTTACTAATTGGAGTATGACACCTTTATATCTTTTAATTACATCTATTCAACTCTTATTTAAACTTCAATATATACCTCAAGGTTATGACCTTCAATATAATACATAATACATAACTTCCAATCGAATTCTGCTTGGTACATTCTTATAATACACACTATATCCTTTAAAAAAAAAGGATTATAAATATATGTAATTATAATCATTAAAATTTTAACATCTTTAACACTTCTTTTCAGTTAAATATCATAGTTCCTTATTTGTTGCTTTTGCTGTTTGACCCGGCCAACCAAAACTTTCTCTTCTTATCTTCTTCCTGCACATTCTTTTCCGGTCGAGTTCTTCTTTGTGGTGGCCATTTCTGACCACTGCTACAACCACCTTCAGGAAAGGGAATAATGGCCAGCTGGGGAGGAGAGATGCGGCTCTCCTCAACCCTGCAGGCAGTCTCCCCCTTCTTCACCACCTCTGTGGGGTGGCTTAGCCCCAAAACCAGCTGGCTCGGGATGCTCCAGCGACAAGCACGGATCAAAACCTCTCAGAGACGAGGCTTTGGTCTGTTGCTGAAGAAGCTCAAACCGGAAGTCCCAATTTTATCACATATTTTGTTCATTGCCAGAACTTAGAAAGGATTTAAGCAAAGCAAAACAGTTGGTAAAGTACCAGTGGTAGGATTCAATTTTTTGCTACCGGTTCTGTGGGCGTGGCTTGGTGGCTTGGTATGGCTTGGTGGGAGTGGCTTGGAGGATACTGTAAAAACTCCATTCCCTCCCCATTCCTGGGGGAAGGTTACTGCAAAATCTCCATTCCCACCCCACCCCACTAACCTGCTTTCCACCTCCGTTCTCCTGTATAGGGCAACAAAAGATGGTCCAGCCAATCAGCTGGTACTCAGAAGGCACAGAATAGATGGGGGCAGGGCCAGTCAGAGGTGGTATTTGCCAGTTCTCCGGACTACTCAAAATTTCCACTATTGGTTCTCCAGAACTGGTCAGAACCTGCTGAATACCACCTCTGTAAAGTACCACTTATTTTCATTTTAAGCTAGAGAATTATAACAGTTGGATCCCAATTAATGACTAGTGGAAAAAATAGCCAAGGAAGAAGCCTGTGATGACCCGGGGCATGGCATAAAGGCAACATAGTCAGTTAATCAATAAGAGTCCCTTTATTAGCTCCAACTTTGCCCCCAATGTCCTGGTTACCTTCTGGCTGGAGAAGAACTTTCCCAGGAACAGCTTTTGGCTACAGAGAATCAAGGCCAAAATGTAGTCAACAAAAACTAACTCTAAGTCCAAACAAGGCAAAATGTGGTAATTAGTTCAGCAGGACAGGAGAAGGAATTCCAGACATGAAGGAATAGCAATAATTTAACTCAATTGGGAGGATGCCAGGAATGCAAAGTCAACACAAGATAAACTCATGTTTGCTCCCAGCAGCTGCCGCATGCAGCCTGCATGTCTCTTAAACTTTCTTCCCAGATGTGGCTAATAAAGGGAATCAGGGCCCTTTCCTCCCCCGTAAGCCACGCAACCCATGTTGCTCTCTTCTCCGTTCCTCCCCGCATGCCCTAGGATGAAGAGGAGGTGGGTCTGGGTCTTCTTTTGAACTCCTCCCTTGTTCTACCTCTCCCCTGCTCTGCTCAGCTGGACTTTGCTCTTCCCCAATTTCCTCTACAGCCATCGGAGCCATATTTGCACTCCCTGTCAGCTATTTGGATTCAGACTCTGCCAGGGGCGACGGGCGTGACAAAGCCAGAAAGAGCAGAAGGTGCAATCAACTGGGGATGAAGTTTTCCACCTGGGAAAACTGAGTAAGATACAGTATATGAATAGAAATTTTGCCATTCTAATTGATCTAAATGAAGTTATTAAAAGACCATAACCACCTGGCAAGTCTGCACTGAACAAAACAGATAGAAAGTCAAGCCAGGCAAGCTTTTCCCCACAGTTGTTGCAAACAGTATAGCTGAAATGTGTATTCATGGCGGGAAATGTCATGCACAGAGGGCAGAATGTCCTTGGTATAAGAAAGCAAGTCACTTTGCAACTGTCTATAGTCCTTGACAATGAAAAATACAGTGATGACGATCTGTCTGACACCACATAGTTCTGCTGTATAATAGGAAGTGCTTTACAAATCAGTGCCCATTCAGTAGGGCTTAAAACTGATACAGGAACTGAATAGCCATGATTTCAGAATCTGTGTACAGCATCTCTTACAAACTATTGACTGTGAAACGTGTATTTTACAGTTTAAAAATGCCATATAACTGGTGCCACGTGAAGTACTTTATGGAGTCTTACAAGAAATAAGAATCTTCATGATAAAATTAAGGCTTTAAGGAAAAACTTGTTCCAAAGTAATCCATTCAGCCAGAATGTTACTAGTCCTGCTACATTGTCTTAGTTCTAGGACATTCACAGATGCAGAACCACAAGATGCTCTATTGAAAACCTCAGAAATTGCCTGCTAAATTGTGAAAACCTCAGAGATCATTCATATAATGCAGGAAAAACACTTGTTGTAGGAGATTTTGTGATCTTACATGTACAAATATCTTCTGATCCAGATGCGTGCTGAAGAAGTACTTGAGACTTTCAAAGCACTATTGTAAAACTTATTTTTGATTAGCTTCTTTATTGTAGAATTACTGTATTACTGTACTGTATTACTGCCTACAGCCAAGAGCTGTAGGCAATACTGAATTTAATGGATACACAATCAAATAATTTTTTGCAGATAAAATAAGAAATGTAGTATCATAGGAACTAATTTGGCCAAGAGATTTATTATTTCAGCTGAAATAATCCTAGAAAACTGTAAATGGCACTTGGTTGATACTAAATGCTGTAAGAGTATCTGCTTGGTGACTCTAGTTGAGTCAAAATCTTAAATATTTATAGCATTCTGGGATTTTTACCAGGTATAAACCATCTTAACAAATTTACTCCTACTTACAGTGGTATCAGAGTATTTATCTGATATTTGATCTGATATTTGTGTATTTGCTATAAGGGCTGAAAGTTTCAAGCTGAAAATCAACTACGGTGTAAGATATCTTTGGCTTTCAAGACTTCATTCTTATGTTCTGTAGTAGGACATCTTCTACATATTTTCATAGAATATAGCATAACTAATATCTGCTGTATTGGATCCTTGGCCAATCTAATATAGCGGTCTGTTCTCACTGCACAAGGAAGTTCTTGTCTGCACAAGGCAACATAAAACCCTCTATGGCATCGGTCAAGGTTAGTTGATGAACTGGATCATCCTGCTAAGTTAAGCCCACCGTTACTCATGTTGAAGAGGTCTGCTGCAGATCCCGTCAAAGAACTCTGGCCTGAAGACCTGGATCTGCTGGTTGACCTGAGGATCCAATAGGGGAGTTCCAAATTGGAAGTTGCTACTAGGTTAACCTCCCTACACTCCCTGCTTACCCATCTCCCATCTTTTATTGCGTATTATTGTACTTTGATTATTTATTTTTATTGTTTCATTGCTTTGCTGTTGTTCTGTTTATATTTTTTCATTTTAGTTTTTCATTTTACTGTTGCAAGCCACTAAGAGTAGTCTTATGGCTAGATGGGCGGCAGATTTTAAAAAAAATCTAACTGTATTAAGTCTGTGAGTTCTCTATTCCCATTCTATACTGAATGTGAAGGTGAATTTCTGGAGAAGTGGTATTTATTGCTATGTGTGTTATGAAGTCTGGCAAACAGGATCTTCTTTTTCCTATACTCCTGTAACTCTGACTTTGATATTAAACAGTGGGCCATGATCCTCTTGCAGTGCCTATCGCAACCCAGATGCACCAAACACGTTCTGGCAACTATTGCAACTGCTGTAACAATTATCTGCCCTTGAATACCAAGCACCCCTTCCTTTTCACGGCCAAGGTTGTTGGGATTATTTTAAAGTTACCAGATTCTTCATTTAGTGTGAATTATACATTCCCTAAAATCTGAGGATTTCTCCTTGGATTGATCTTATGTATATACAATATAATTCTTATGAAAGAATTCTAGTAACTTCTATATATGATATCAACTTTGCATTAAATGAAAGCTAATGAAATCAACATTTGAATTCTTAGCTCTTTTCCTTTCCAAAACAATATTACAACCACAAGCCACTCTTTTTTTAGGCAGGAGGAATTTTTTCTATCCCTTCTTGTTCTAGTAATAGTAATTAAGTAATAAACACACCTTTATCCGACTGACTGCTTATGAATATGTGAGAACCTCTTCCCACAACACCCTTTTCAAGATCTCTTCTTTAATTTCTGGTGATTCCTCCTTGACAAATTATTGACGTAGTACTCTGTTTTACAGTCCGGTAATTTCTGCCCCATTTCCATACACTGGTGGGGTAGTAGAACTGAAGTGTAAATATAACAAACGATTTGATGATTACATAAAATTATGATATATCATAAGTAAAACATGGAAAAGGAAATGATTTCAATTTTATATTTGTTGAATATTACAATGTGGTAAATTCAATCTTTTTTGAGATTTAAAAAGGTCTCTATGAGTGCTTTTCAAAGTGATATATATTTTAGAGGTATATTAAACATGGACATGAAAAGACCAACTTTATACATTTAAATATAAGATTTTTCACATTTGTTTTGACAGGTTTCTCTTAATATTGCTCTGGAAGCTTTTTGGATCAAGCCATCCATTTTCATGGGCATGACTTGTATTGCTTTCCAAAAACTATCTGCTAATCCAGACAGGTCACTGAGTTCTGACACAAAGAGCACGGTGACAGACCAACCCTTGAATTTTAACTGCAACCCTGGAAATAAAAATACCTCCTTGATGAATTTCTCTTCCATGGTGAGTGGTATAACCAATGAATGTATACCGAATTTATATTTTTGAAAAATACAACGTTTGTACTAAAATCAATATTCAGAGTAAAGATTGAAAAATGAAGATAGATTAAACTTCCTTTTGATTGTGCAAATTCATTAGTTGAAAATTTTAACTTCTTGTAAAGTCTGTATATATGTACTCAAAAGCACAAAACTTAAATATAATTCAGTCTTGATTTTTATTCTCTGATTTCACCACATTTCAATATGCATGAGTAATGGTACAGATTATCTGAATTTATCTGACTTCTGTCCCAGTTTACCTGGGTCCCTGAATAAAAACCACATTCTAGTCAAAGATAAGACAGTTTGAAATCCATTTATATACATTTGATTGAATTCCACTTCAGTTTTCTCATTGATCTTTTATGCTTAAGAAGTTGCTAAGAAATTTATTACAATTTGTAGCAATGGTGCTCTGAACATAGGGAAAAATAAATTTTCACGGTAAGCTCACAGTGGTATATAAAAACTATAAAAATGTCTGTTATTAAAAATAACATTTCTAATATAGAACGTTTCCTGCTATTTCTTTAATTAGGATTACTAATGGTTTTATGCCTTTTTCATTTATTACATGCTTTTGTGTTACTGATGTAGATTATGTTGTGTGAGACACTTAGACAATAAAGTATAAATATTTTATTTTTAAATTATAAATATTTTATATTTTAATAAAAGGGCTAGGGTTCGAACTCAGAAACAGCCCACATCCTCAGCATGATAAGAATGTTATTGCATATTAGGGTAAAAGTACTTAAGCAGTTGATTTCTTTATATCTGTATGAGAATTCAGTTCCTTCTTCTCCCACAGCAATTTATACCCAACATTGATTTTTCTGTTTTCCACCTGTAATGGATACCACATTTTGCTTTTCCCCGAGCTTGGTATAAGGTGGCAGTTAGTTGTTAGCATTATCATCATTTCTGATCAGGAAAACTCTAGTTTTCATTTTTACTCTCACAAAAAGGGGATGGGGCTACAATTAAATGTTTGATTAGTGTGAGCAAAACTAAGTATCAGGATTTAATAAAAAAAAATGCTATGATGATATTTTCAGTGATATTCTATTCACGTTTGTGTGATGCGTGGTTTTATAAATGTGATAAATAAATGAATATTTTGGGGGAGTTTGGAGTCCTTTGAATGAAATGGCTGTTCTGAAATTGCTCTTTGTGGCAATGAAGTGGCTCTGTCCTTCCAAAAGTTTGGCACGACACCTTCAAGGGCCTTCTAAACAATATACACAGTGATAATCATCTTTTCCAACAACTTGTGCTAAGATTTGAAGAGTGACAAAAGAAGAGGACTGCCTTAGAGAAGAATTTCAGAGGGGTGGAACATCATGAGAAAGGCATCTTTCTGAATAGCTACCTATAATAGTTGATATATTTGGAGAAAGATAAGAGTAAAACATTAATGTTAATGAAACTGCTCCTAGTTCATCAACATAATTTGGCAAATAGCAATGCTATTTTGGAAATGCTATTGTTTTACTGGGGAACATGTAGCCATTTGAAGGGTTCTACAATTAGAATCATAACTCTGTTAATTCTAGGCATAGGTTCCTAGAAATACTTGTTCTTCATTTATCTCAATTCCCCATGAAATTTTCTTTTACTTTGGACATCTTGGATGTATTCCAACGAACTCATGGTATTCTAGTGAAGTCCAACTGGGTATGGCTTAGATAGATGTTCATGAAAATCCGTTCTTTGTAGCTATGGTAAGCAAATCAGTCTCGAATGAACATTTTAGGGTAGGTTTTTGGGGTAAGAGTAACACTGCAATATATGGATTCTGTGTACTTCCAAATTAAATCTCAAAAATTGTAGTGGAGATAAGGGATGTTTGAACAGAGAATTGACCCACTGTAGGATGGCCAATAGGACCTCATATCCCATGCTTAAGCATAGGTTTGAAATATAGAGAAGAGAAAGCCTTCATTCAGCTTAACAGTAGATTGGCTTCCTTACATCGTACTGTATCTTTATTTAGAACGTAGGCCTATGTTAGATAGTCAGCCAAAAAATTGTGCTTTCCCATATCTAAGCATTTTTCTGTGTTGAAATAGAATTGTTTTGCGGTAGAGTTGGATAGTTTTTCAAAACATATGTTCTTCAAAAGAATATTCTTTCATAACATATGCCGTTTTATATGCTATTTTTTGTTATGACAAGGAATTGTATCTTTACAAATTAAAAGAAAACAATTATAGTCTATCTCCTTTACTCTTTCACCATACTTTCCAGGAACAAGGTATGTATCTAGGATTTATCTAGAATTATAATAAAACATTTGGTTTTGAAAGCTGATTAAAAATATTGCAGTAACCACTGTAAAAGGGTTTTAGTGGTTTAATCTTTTCTTATTCATTATTGTCATGTTTCCTTGAATTATTCAGGTCAGATTCCTGGCCAAATTTTAAACTGTTATGCCTCATTTGACAGAACAATTTTTTAAAAAAACTGTAGTTACAATTGTCAAACAACATTTAAAAATTATAATGAAATGTACCATTTTATGCAAAACCTAACATTAAATTGGAATTCCAGTTGTTCTTACTGCTATGAAAGGACATCTTAAAGCAAAATAGTTATACTTGGAATATGAATGGATTATGACATTATGTAAACTCACTCCACTGGAAAATGAGACACTTTCCTAAAACATTGTCCCCAAACCACTAAGTAAGAAAAAATAGTTTTTAACCACTTACTGCGTCAGTAGAATTTCATTATTTTTTTTTTCAAAAAGCAACACTTAACAGAGTTCTAAAACATCACGAATAAAGCATAGGTTTATTCAAGCCATCTTTCTTAGTTTATCCTTCCACAGCCTAACATCTTCCAGTTATTATGTGACAACAATTCCCAGAGTTCTAATTAATTTTGAGTTAACACATGTACAATTATCTATTTAATCCAGTGGAAGCTATTTTCCAATGCTAAGTGCATTGTACAGGATCGGAGAAGGGTGTTTAAATACCCTTTTCTCGTGTTGCTGGAACCAGCAGTGGGGATAGAGATGTACCTATCAACACATACATACGTGCATGCATAGCTACATAGTACTTCAACATTCTTATTCTAGCCGCTGAGTTAATATGAATTTGTCTTATCTCCACCACTTGTTTTCTTTGGCTATATTTGTTGAGGTTTTCAAGAAAAGTTTGGACAACTATTTATCAGGATGGAGTAAGGACTACTGCCTTGAGCAGCAGGTTGGACTTAAAAATCATTTTTGTGCTAAAAATGAGTTTTCTGTACCTGCCATATGCCAGTTTATATATTGACTAATAATATGTCCAAAAGCTGACTGAACAACTTTGGATTAGTCAGCCTGTCTTAGCCCAACCTACCTCACAGGTTTGTTGTGGAGAAAAATGGGAGGGGGTAGTGCTGCTGGCAGCCCCAAATCTGATTCAAGATGGATCAAGATGCTGACAGCTGTCTTGAGCTGTTGTGAAAAAGGGAAATGAATGATGACTTCTGCTATGTATTTTTCATCACTGTGCTAATTCATATAACTAGATATTTATTGTAAGAAAACTTGCTCACTTTATTTCTTCAATATTATAAATATATAAAATACATATAAATATTAGTGATTAGAAACATGATATTAAATTCTTGATCATATTTGCCAGAGTTCTATTGTATAATAATAATAATAATAGTCTTATACATTTCATTATTGTATATGTTATCTACAATAATCCCAAAATGTTTCAGGTTCTGTTCTATTTTTCTAGGATTCCTTTACAAATTTGACATTGCAGGTAGTTAAATGAGAATAATGACAATCTCCACTAACTTTGCATGTATTAATGGCTATGCAAGGTATCATACTATTGAAAAAAGAGCTCAGAAGAGAGCAATTTTCACAGCTGACTATATTTAGCAAAAATCCATAACTCATGAGTAATAAGTACAGTTGTCTTTTTTCACCTGCTAATAAAAAAATGTGCAGAATGAACAAGTGTTAGCAGAATGTCAACCTGTGCAAGTAAACTCACTTTGGAAAACCAAAGAATGGAAAAAGTTACCTTTTACTGCCACCATGGAATTAGCTAGCAAGCTGAATTATTTATTACATTTATACCCTGCCACAATCCTTTAGCTATACAGATTTTTCTACCTTATGTTCAATTGTGCTCAATTCTTGGTGACTACCTGGACAAGTCTTTGCAATTTTCTTGCCAAGATTTCAGAAGTGTTTTGTCATTTCCTCCTTCCTGAGAGAAAAAAACAGGCCCAAGACCACCCATCTGGCTTGGTGCCTAAGGTGGGTCTAGAACTCACAGTGTCCTAGTTTCTAGACTGATGCGTTAACTACTACACCAAACTTCTTTCTTGTATTCTAGAAGTATACAAACCATTAGGACCTCTGTGGTCCTCTTTAAAACATAACGAAACATTAATATCATGCAAGAATAAAAATAATTCTCAAATGCCTTCTGGAAAAACTCCATTTTATATGCTTTGGAAAGCAGATAAGTTCAGGGAGAAACAGGGAAAAGCCATTTCAGAGAGCTACAATCTCTGTAAAAAATAGTGTTTGGGCAGCCTAGAGATCCTTAAAGGTGGAAAAAAAAACAGCTCATTTTCCTAGCAAGGTCAAATTGGTGGGGCTGAATGGCAGTGGTGAAGATATGTTGGTGTTAAGCCACAAGGGTATTTTATAAGTTAAAATCAGCACATTAAATTGTTCCTAAAAGCTTATAAAAGACCAATTTGAGACTTGTAGCACAAGTTCTCCCACCAGTATGGCCCAGGGTAAAGATATAAAGCTCCCTATTATAAGATTATCAAATCCCACCGAAAAGATGGCCTCTTCCTGTGGCTTCATGTAGCTATTAAGTGGTAGGAGAAAAAGATTGAGCTCCGTGGCATCTCAGTAGGGACCAACCATACTTCCACCAGCTGGAACTGTCCACTGAAGAAGGAATGGAACCACTG